TTTTCTATTGCGCCACACGTCTATCGATCGATATATATCGTTATTGAATTATCGCCCAGCCCTAGTTTATCTTGCAAAAAAAAAAAAAGAATATTGCTGTGCCTTATTTGATTGCAGTTTTACACAAATCTAAAAATATGTAAATGAGAGAACCGGCACCTGGTCAAAAAGGGTTCATCTGCTCCAGTTACAGTACGTTATATACAATACGTTACAATAGCTTAATTTACATTGAATTAAAATATGTGAAAGTTGGTTAGTGCTTTTTTTTTTTTTCTTTTTTATAACATGTCAACTATGTTTCTTTGTTGATGCTAGGTCCTATGTCTCTACTGGAGAAGGTCATGTTCATGAAAATCCAGAATGGGAGAAAGCCAGGCAAGCACTTGCATCAATCAACAAGAACCAGACTTCTGCTAAGAATACACAAGATAACAGAAACGCTGTTGAGGTTTGTGCTTTCTCTCCATTGCCTTTCTTTTTTTTAAAGCATGTTTCAGCATATATATTCATGATATGTTCAATATAGTTCCCACCAGAAATAAGCGAGTCAGAAATGTGTCATGTTGATAGGGTACAGGTAGATAGGAACTGCTTGACGAGCAGCATTACGGAGGCTTGTATTTTTTATTTTTTTTGGTTTGAGTTGATTCACTAATATCAGCTTTTTGTTTCCTATTATTATTATTATTATAGGGAAGCCAATTTCAGCCAGCTGTCAGCGACTCATCTGCCATTCAGCAGCAGCAGTACTATTCATGGTACCAGCAAACTCAACAGCATTATCCTGGATACACATACCCCTACAACTACTACTACCCCATGGGCACTGTGAGTACAGAAAAATAAATTGCTTCTTGGGGATGTTTTGCAGACTTATTGTGTGACAAGAAAATGGTGTGTTCTCTATTTTTGTGTGACTATTATTAGAGAACCTGGATTTCTTTTCTAGTGCCATTTTGATTTTATTAACACAAATTTTGGTTAATAGAATATTTGACATGAAGTTTTAGACTTTGGGGATTGTTTTTTATTCACTCTTATTCCCAGCTTTGTGGGCAGTTTTTAGACAGAGTTGTTATAAACATCTTAAGCACTGTTCTGAGTCCCCTCTTAAACAGAGGTGTGGTAGAAGAATTGTCCAAGGACACAGAACGTCAGCAAAATTAAACCTATGGAGAGCCGTTTCATTCGAAATGAATCAAAGACTGCTATTGATAAATTGTCAATTTTTGAAACGACTCCATATACACCCTGCATGGACAGAGTTACTGTTTTAAGGTGTTCAATTTATTTAGCTCATATCTTCAGTGTTTAACGTGCAATGTCTGGTCTCCATTTTCCCCCCTCAGTATGGAGCTGCATACCAACCAAATCAGTATGGTGTACCTCCGGGAACATATTCAGGAACTCCATCTTCTAATGGACAGGTATATAAGCTTATGTCTTGTTTTGAAATCTTTCAGATTAGTTTTGTTGATTTAACAAACAAAACTACTTGGCATGTGACAAAATGGTGAATATATGAATGTAAATGTCAGAACTAAATTTAAGTTAAGGCTATTATTTGATGTGCTGTTATTAAAAGTGTCCCTGATTCTACTGTTTGGTTTACCAGCCTCCCCCTGTGCCCGGCATGGAGGACCAGACGCCAAACTACTCCCAACCACAGCCTCCCCCACCTGCTACACCTCAGCCACCCCAGAGTCCCACTACCTCAGAGAACCCCCCTCCTCCCCCACCCCAACCTATCCCCCCTTCCCCCAATTCCCAGTATGCTCAACCTGTTTCACAAACTTCTTACAATGCCAACAATGGCATGTCATACCCACCCAGCGACCCAAACCAAATGTCAGTGTACAAACACCCCCAGGCAAGACCAAACTATGGCCAGAGTTTCCAAGCCCAGAACACCTACCAGCCTCCCCAGAATAATTCCCAGCAGCAACAGATGCAGAGTCAGTATGTACCTGGGCTGGGTCAGGGAGAGGCAAATAAAAACCAAAACCAAGGACAGCAACTCTGGCACCGCATGAAACGTAAGGTTTCTCTTTCCTATTCTACAGCTGCCTCATTATTAGTTTTTGTTTTCATTTTGGGAAAAAAACCCAAAGGCAAATCATTGTATGCTTTAAATGTTTCTCCCCCACAGAGGCACCAGGGACAGCTCCTGTTAAATTTAATATTTCTAAGAGGCCCTATCAGGTTCAGGGTTCCCCAGTTTCCAATCAAGCTTTCCAACAAGGTGAACAGCCCACTGGGTTAAATCAGACCCCTTCCTCACCAGTTACTGGCAGCATTGCACCTGGAGGTGCACAGACACGGTAGGAATGGCTTTGCTTCCTCCCTTTCACTTTCTTTCATCATGTGTTGAATGGACAGTAACCCTAAAATTCTCTCCAGACCCCAGGATTGGCCCCAAGCGATGAAGGAATATGTGCAGCGTTGTTTCACCGCCTGCGAAACCGAGGAAGACAAGGACCGTACGGAGAAAGTGTTGAAGGAGGTCCTCCAGGAGCGGCTCAAGGATGGCTCTGCTTACACAATTGACTGGACCCGAGAGCCGTTACCAGAGTGGGTTTAGTTCTGGCTTAAGATGTTGGAATTGTCAGCAGAAACTAATGAATGCTGGGAAGATCTTACTTTTGATCTTACTCTTGACTTTTTTTTTTTTTCTTGAGTAAAGTCTTCTTTCTCTGGGTGTGGTCGACAAAACATTAGCAAAACCATAGGAAAATCAGTGGTTTCTGTAAAGACGAGTGGGACTTTGGCCAACCTTTACTCAGTCACAACAACAAAAAGAACATGACTCGAGGGACAGCACAGAACTGTGAACAGGCAGCTCTAAGAACAGAAAAGATTTCCCCTGATCTTAGTGCTCCACGTTAGTTTACTATTTAACATGTTTAACACGTCATGTATAGAAAGATCTGCATAACTTCACATAGGTTTATCTGTATTTTATTTAATCTGACACTGATCATTTATTCTCCACAGGTTAAAGGTCAAGCAGTCTCGTTGGGAAGCTGTTCAGCCTCAGAGGACATCCGATAACTCCTTGATACGTGGAGGGAGTACTGCGGGGGGTGCTTCAAGGGGCAGAGGGATTGCCAACAGGCTAGGTAACTACAGGAACATTTTTTCTCAAAGGAGTCCATCATCAAGCTCATCGCGATCCTCCTCCCACTCGCCATCACCTTCACATGGCCGACACAGAGATCGAAGCAACCAAAGACACAGGCGCAGGTAAGCTACAGGTATTCGCTTAGTTTTATGAACACGTGGTTTGTCCAAATGCAAAGTGCTGAAATGACTTCTGTCTACCTTATCAGTGATTCTGGCTCACAGTCAGACAGCAGCATCTCCAGTGACCTTCAGCCTCAGCTGTCCAGAAGAGGACAGAAAGGAGGGCGGGGTCGCGGGAATGATAGGGAGAGAGGACGTGGTGAGAGAGGCCGAGGAAGAGGAGGAAAGTCTAACAGAGGAAGACGGTAGATGCTTTATTTATAGTTGCATTGTAACTTCATGTTTTTAAAAAATGCATGTTTTTCCAGAACAAAGGCCAAAACTGTTGCAGTTAGAATTTAAACTTTTTTGTAGCTTTTTATGTTGGAGATTGGCAGTTGGCATCAGTTGCTGTAACTACTACTACTGAACAGGTGGTTCTCTTCATACTCTCTGATAAATGTACTTTAACTCTCATATTTTCCAAAAGGTCTCCAAACTTCCAAATCCAGCATAATCAGTGACGAGTTTTAAATTACAGCAAAGGACAGCTTTGCTGTAATTACCATAGAGTGTTGTTAGAAAGGTGTGTTAGATATGGTCCATTTACTGAATGCAAATACAGATTTCTGATCTGGACTGGTCTAATGCAGGCAACCAGCTGACTTATCACATCTGTTTGTTCCTGTGTTCTGTCATTATTAATGTAACTTTTTGCTGTATAAAATTTTTAATCAAAATGTATCTTTTAGAAACATGGAAGACGGTTCTGCTGTCGGAAAAAAGAGAAAAGGAGGTACTGCTGGTATGGATTTCCATGACCCAAACAAGGAGGCTAAGAAACAAAGTAGAGCAGCTCGCTTCCAAAAGCAGCTTCGCTCTGAGCCGCTGGTTCTCTCCATCAATTCTCTGGATCTACCCGATGGAACCCAGGAAGGCCTCAGCTGGGAGGACTGCCCTATTGTGGGCTCATGTCAGGACATCACAAAGCGCTACCTGAGGCTCACCTGTGCCCCTGACCCCTCCACTGTTCGCCCTGTCCAGGTATGTGGAGAAATGGCGTAAAAGGACAAAAAATGTGATCTCTAAACTAAAATGAATACTTCTTATATTTTCCTCTGAAGACATTTATATCTGTTATTCCCTATCCAACTATCCAGCTGTGTATTGGTCAGTTTGCAGCTCAGTGTTCTATGTTTGGCTGTAAGATCATTTCATCTATGAATACTTAAAATGGATTCTTCTGAGACTATAACATAGTTCTCAATGAATTGGGTGCTTTCAAACAGGGTTATATATTTTGTGTAAAAAAAATATATATATAAATAAACAACCTTCTTACTGCAGCCTCTGTGTTAAATCACTGGTCTTAATCTTAAGTCTGTTTTTTTTTTTTTTTTTGAACAATAAATGTATATGTACACAAAGCTTGTGGCCTTCAGAGGCAAAGGTTTTGTCTTTATTCTTGTCCTTGTCTGTCTTCACGCAGGTACTTAGAAAATCTTTGCAGGCTGTAAAGGCCCACTGGAAAGCCAACCAGGACTATGCCTATGCATGTGAGCAGATGAAATCTATAAGACAGGACCTTACGGTACGTTGCTTTACTTCTGAATGATTTTTTAAAACTTTTGACTTGGACTCAAACTAATTTTTCATTTTTTCTCTCTTTTAGGTTCAAGGAGTTCGAACAGACTTCACAGTGGAAGTGTATGAGTGTCATGCACGTATCGCCCTTGAAAAGGTAAGATATGTTTTTTTGTTTTGGTATTATGTCCTCTGTTCTTTGTGATGATGTGATTCTCTTTAATAAGCTAATGTTGTTTGGCTTTTAGGGAGACCATGAGGAGTTCAACCAATGCCAGACTCAATTGAAGGCTTTGTACAAGGACAATCCATCTGAGAATATTGGAGAGTTTACAGCTTATAGACTGCTCTATTACATTTTCACTAGAAACTCTGGAGGTAAGCTTGTATTTTTGTGCATCAATTAAGTTGTTTTTATTTTTTTGCATTTTTAATGTTTGCCTCCCTTCCTTCCAGATCAGATCACTGAGCTTGTTTACCTGACCCCGGCCTTGCGGGCAGATGAGTGCGTAGCTCATGCTCTTGCGCTCCGTGCTGCCTGGGCTTTGGGGAACTACCATCGTTTCTTTAAGCTCTACCGGGAAGCCCCTCGCATGGCTTCGTATCTCATTGACAAGTTTGTAGAAAGAGAGAGAAAGATTGCACTTCGGGCCATAGTTAAAACGTAAGTTATGATTAAGAAGCATGAATAGGTTTATGTCAGTAAATTAGAAAATCAAGTTATTTTATTTCCTTTACAGAGTTCTACAGGGGGGAAACCTCTTTATTGTGTAGATTCTTTAGCATTTTGTCTGGTTTTGAGTATGGCTTACAAGAGAACTAAAAACCCACATTTACAAAAAGAAATGTAGATTTTTTTAAGGCCAAGAAAAGTATGTAATGGCAACTAAGCCTCTAGAACTAAGAGTCCTAGAGGCTTGAGTTCTTAAGTGAATTTTCCACAGTTTGATCTGGGAGCAAAATCATCTAAAAAAAAAAAATTACATCTAGTCTACAGCCAGCAGAGACATCTGCTGGAAAATCGAGGTTTATGAAAGGCTAATGTAATTCTCCATCAGGGTTTTCATTCACTGTAAACCATCTTCAAAAACCACAAATAATAATTTGATGTATAGTTAATAAGTGGATTTTTTTTTTTTTTTGAATTGCTGAACTAAGATATATTTTTAGTGATTTTTATAATGATGCATCAGAGTATTTTTAATATGATATCTCTAGTTTAAACTAACCTGGTTTACTTTTGTCTCTTGTTTTCTTCACAGATTCAGACCTGACCTTCCAGTACAATATGTGCAAAAAACTCTGGGCTTTCAATGTTTAGACTCCTGTATGGCCTTTTTAACTAGTCTAGGCGTTTCCTTTTACCCTTCAGACCCCAGTAAGATAGACTGCAAAGCCAGTACAGCCTCTCTGGCTTCCTGTTGAGGGAGAGAGGGTGGTGGGGGATAACCTTATTGAGAAAGACATAGACAGATCATCATTTAGTTCCTTACTTACATTGCACTGCCCTTCAGACACCTCAGATAATGTAGAAGACCTCAAAGTAAGGGGGATCTTGTTTTACAGATAACAGCTGATTAACAATCAATCTAGATGCTATAAGGTGGTGAACAGTTTACCAGTGAGATTACTCTCAGTATTGACCATACACATCTAGTTCAGGGAGATCACCCTAATGGATCCCTTCCTTCACCCCTCAGATTTTAGTGCTAACGGTGTTCTGTTATGTTTTTCCTCCCTCAAGTCAACAGCCTAAAGACCTGAAGATCAAGATTCAAATGGCTCTTCATCAGGTTGTCCTCCACACTCTCAGCCCTGCAGGATCGCGTTGGTGCGACTGGTTGCTCTTAAAGACTGTGAGAAGATGGCACCCATTTTCCAAGAGGAAAAGCTGGTGGTTTGTATGTCCTGTCAAGCATCCTGCCCACCTGTGAAGCCTTCATGAAAGAAATGGACTTGGCTGTGAATCACTGTTCCTGATCCAGCAGAAGTCTTTCGCTGTTATAAAATACCAGCACATCGAAGAGGTCCCAGTTTGAGGAGCACTGACTGTTTTTTTGTTTTTTTTAATTTGTTTTTTTGTTTTGTTTTTTGCGATGCGTTCTTCAACAAGATTAAATTCAAATTCAAGAAGTTGGATGAGGTTCTGCTTTAATCAGGGTCAGGTAAAAGTTCCTGCCAGCGTCTAGAATCCTGCACGTCTCTGTGCTGTTGGACTGCAGTGATGATGCTTTTATAAATCCATCTGGACCTTTTAGCAGCTGTTGCTGCACAGAAAACACCACTAAGGAGGATCTGCATCTAAGGATAACTTCACAGGACCATCAAGGAGAAGCAAGTGGTTTGTATGCTACACTGTATCTGCAGAGCTGGTAAGAAAGAGACTTCTGGAACGAGATGGGTGGCGGCACAGCTGAGGCATCTTCGCTGCTTGGTGCCGTTCTGCTTCCTTCCGTCTCGGACAACAGTATTGGCTTTCTATCACTGAGTGGCAGAAGAATTTTAAGTATTCATAGGTAGATTTGTTCAAAGAAAAGCTAAAAATTTAGCTATACCTGCAAAAGAACTAACAGTGGATCTGCTAAGATTTACTTTTTTCACAGCCCATTTATACTGCAGTGTCTGGAAGTAATTCCCAAGATAAATTTTATATGGAGGTAGACGGTCAATTAAAAAGGGATTCAGGAAACTGAGTGTAGGTCATTGTAACTGCCAACTCGATGCTTCTTTGAAATTTGTAAGATAAATTAGTCGAATTATTTTTGATTATCTATTTTCAGTTTATATTTAAACTGAAAATAGTTGTCTAATTGGACTTATTTCACGTTGCCATGGATTGTTCATCAAGATCTGGAAAGTTTTTCTACAGCCAGAAGACAGCAAGTCAGTCATTTTGTATGTTAAAGCTGTAAATGTAGTAAATGGCTCCCAAAGCCATAACAGACGTTTATTGCTGCTTGTCCCATTATTCAGATGATGATATTTACCTGTTGTTGGAATTTTAACAGCAGGTTGATATAGTTCTCCTCAGGGGGAAATCTTCAGCTCAGTAGTATTGAGTATTAAATGATCAGGGCAGATGTTGACCTCAGTGTATTCCACTTGTACTCAATCACAGCAGGATTGGTGGCAGGCTTGTTGTGCAAGCTGCTTACCTAACAGCAATGTTGTAAAATTGTATCATATTTGGATTTTTTTTTTTTTTTTTTGCTTTCATTTTAATTGTGCAAACCTTTTGTTAACTCCTGGGTAAGTTAAAGATTTCCTTTATTTTCATAAGATTTATGCAAAACGATTTCAGATGTGGATGATTTGGCTGCATGTTACAGCTTTTGCAATAGAGAAATGGAAGCACAGCCTGAAAACGTTTTTTCTAAGATTGTTTTCATCATTTTGTTGTGGGATGTCAGGCTAGTACTCTATAATGTGTAAGGAAACAGTAGCTCTGGCGTGTTTCCAGCATGTTTAAGTCGTCTCAACAAACGATAAATGGAGAGATCGTTCTCATCAGAAATACAAGTCTAAGAACTATAGATATTTTGACCATGATTTAAACTTGTCTTTTCTTTCCCCCTTCATTCATCCTATCCTCCCTTCCTCCCCTCCACCCCCCCAAACCTCCTTCCCACACACCACCACGCCTCTCGTTCTTCAGCTCGTAGCACTGCTGCATTGCAGAAGCAACATGGAGTGAATAAGCGGGTGAACATCCTCCAGAAGGCTGCCTAAGAGTGAAGTGAGAAGTCCTGCTTTGACCGGCTCACACTGCAGCCATACAGCTGGTTAAATAACACGGGAGCCTCTCACAATGAAATGTATAAACATGTCCTGCTGCTAATCCAAATATTTAAGATGTTTAAGTTTTAATAGCTAGTCTGTTAATGATCCTATGTTGATTTCTGTTTGTCCAGGTGCATTTGCTCTGTTTTCCTAATCTGTACAGTTGTTGGTTTATTATATATATTTTCCTTTCCCCTCTTTATGTACTAGCATTTAAAGACATACTTTTATGTAAGATTTCTCCCTCATCAAAAGTGTGTCTGGACATGCAGAATTTCTTTTCAAATATTAGGTTTTTAAAGTCTTGTTAAGGTTTCTGAAATGTGCTCATAGGGTAAGAATTGACTCATCTAAATTATCTTTGTTGTAAAGTTTCTACACAGGTTTAAATTTTGAACATCTGAGGCTAAATTTAAATATAATTCACCCCAGTTGACTAACTGATTTTTTTTTTTCTCCAGTTCATGTTTTGTTTCACTTATTTTGTTGCTCCTCTGTTACTGTTCAAGTCTCTGAATCTCCTTTCTTGATCATTGACACAGTCCTCTCCTCTCCCTTTATTTTTTATTTATTTCCAGTTTGTCTAAGATTTTTTTTTTCGCCTTACCTTTCACTTCTCAATCCCCCGCATGTCCTCTCCTTACTGAACATCTAACCAGGATTTCTCTCTTCCTATCCTTTCTGTCAAATTATTTAATGAGCATTTGCTGTGTGCAACTTATCACCCTGACTAGTAAGTATTGTATTACATCTGCAGTGCTTTTATAGTTTATGTTGCAGTGCACTAACAAGCTGAAGGTTTATCTGCAAAGCCCTTCTCCCTATTTTTCCCACTTCTACACAGATCTGAGAACATTGCCATGATGTGTATATTATGTAAATACTTTTCAAAAATAAAAATTAAATGATAAACGGCATGTTTTGTTTTTGTTTTTCTCTTAGTGGATTAATTCAGTTAGACCAGGACTGCTGGGTGATTTACCTGTTAATGGTTTTAAAGACCTGAGAGAATAAGAACATGTAATTTCTTTACATTGGTCCAAACAATTTTAGGAAATGTTTATTGTTACAAGATTAAAGAAAAACATTTGAGAAAAGTAACAGCTTAAGAACGTAGAAAGTGAAAAAGCATGCTATTAGTTTTAGTTGATCGCTGATTTAAAGCCTTCAGTACAATGTCTCAACGGACATGATTTAGTGTTAGAAATGTAGCAGTTGCAAATGGAGTGTAAGGCCTAAAATCAGCCAAGCCTAAAGCTTATACCTCTGCGTAATAGTGACTTAAATCTAAAATATGCATTTCCTACAATCTGTATCAACCATTTTAGAACCTCTAAAATCAATTTAAAGTGGTTCATGATCTAAAAAAGGAAAGTTAATGGAAAGTCAGCAAAGTGGAAAATTCAAATGTAAAAAGAAAGATCTCATAGCTTAGAGGGGAAAAAGCAGGTGTTTTAATGTTCTATTTGGAGAAAGAAGAGAATACCTAATGAACAAAGTAAAGCGGGAATTGGAGAAACTTTGAAATAAAGAAAAAATAAGTAAACAAAAAGTTTTTCTGCAAAATGTGACCTAATCTAAGAAACACAAAGCTTCATTAGAATATAATTCCTATATCTATACACTGTATAACTGTATATTTATGATTTAAACGAGTTCAGTTTTCTCCTAAACAGTGTGTGTCACAATTAAATGGAAAATACTACCTACAATTTTTGAATTAGGGTTCATTTTTCAGGGACAATAGGTGTCTAAAACCAACTTCACCCAGAGAAAATATAATTATCCCATATATTAAAACAGATTAAACACCGACCAAATCAAGAAATCCCTCCAATAAAACATTTCCTACAGAATGAAATAAGTAAACTAAATTCAATCACAGCAAAACTCTTAATAGTCTGGAAAGGGTCACAAAATCATTTTAGAGAATCATATTGTGCGATGAATGGACAAAACATGAAACTAGTTAACCATGCCAGATTTGGTAAACCTACCAAAACTACATTAGCGCCATCAAGGATACATTTAATTAACCTAGAATTACATTTGTAGCCATGCAAGTATCTTTCTCTCATTGGTTAATGTCCATTTTTATGTTTCTACAGGACAACATTTAGGAAAACCAAGGAGAAAATCACTGCTGAAGAAAATTAACACAAAGGTTTTCAGATTAACCAAAAACAAAACTTTTTTTTAAATTTTGTTTATTCAGCAGGACAACAATCTAAAGAAAAATACCTCAGACTAACAAGAAACAAAAAATAAAATAAAGGTTGTTACGTGTTGTAATCAAAGTTTTCACTTTATCTGATGGAAATTCTTTGTAATGATGTTGAAAAATGAAAATATGCAATAAAAGGTGAGAAAACTTCCTCAGTTTAATGTAAAAGACTAAGGAAAGTGCTTAAAGACAGTTGAGTCCAATCAGAGCACAACAATATATTAGGATTAGGGAGTAATTACCCTTTACTACTTAATAAGTAAAATCAATTAAAACCTTTGTTTGCATTTGGTCAGGCTATGTTTAATATTAAAATGTTTTTAATAATCTAAAACATTTAACTATGGAAAAACTGCTGAAATCTGCGAGATTGGAAAAATTTTTCAAGATCCTGATCTTTTTTTATTTCAATAAAACAGAAACAAAGTGAGTAATGAGAGAAAAGCAATCTAAAAAAACTAAGAAAAAACAGAAAGAAAAGGAGAGGAAAGTCAGATTTATTCAGAGGTAAACATCCAAACAGAAAAAAAAGAGAGCGACAGAAACAAAGAAAGGCAGGAAAAGACTTCAAGAGTGCTGAGAGTTGAAGGAGGAGAAGCATACAGGAAATAAAACAACAGAAAAGGATGAGAAAATTCACCAAAAAAAACCCAAACATTTCCACTAAAGCCAGAGAGGTTAATGTAAAACAAACTAGGGGGGGAAAAACAGCCGCGTTAATTTCAATACAAGAAGAGAAAGGTCATTAAACAAAAAAGGAAAGAAAATTTCAAATACTACAACCCAACAGCTATTTGAACATCTAAAAATGTAAGAGAGGTAGATGGTTAGGGTGGGAAGAAGCTTGATTCCAGCTCCATCCTAGATGCAGCCATGTCTCTGTCCACTCAGTTACTGAACATGTTCCCACGCTCACACACTCACACTCAAAAACAGGGAACCATCAATAAGTCACCTTAGGTTCTACAACATTTGACCCCTGAAATTTGTGGCTTTTAAAACACAAAACTAGTCTCACAGCATCTCTGTAGAATCAGATCCCTAAAACAAACTCAGATAAAGGCTTAAAAAGTTACATTAGATTCTCTTCTTCAGCAGATTAAAGGATCCTAAAGGATCCAGAGTCACACTCTGGTTAGTCTCAGTAGAGGATAACAGGCACAGTTTTCTTCCACAGTTCCAGGCTTTAAGATATCATGACTTATCCTCATCCCAGAGTTCATGTCAGCTGTAAAGCTTTGCTCAGTACGGAGTAAAGCGGTTGTATCCTCCTCGGTACAAGCTGGCCTGTTAACAGAAGCGTTGATACCAGGTGTAAAGCAGAGCGACAACATGAATTAGATGCTGTGCACTTATCAACAAAGCTCACCATTGTCCCAACCCCATATGTTGTCGTTGGTCCAACCGAGTGGTGATAAGGGTCGGCTGCAGCGGCGTAAACTCGTCCGTATCTGGTCAAAATATATTAAAAAGTAGGTTGTTTGTGACGGATAACCATGAGTGAAATCAGTCTTCTTGCAGAATACTTCTCAAACTTCTCAGTTCCTGACATGAAATATTTGCAGCTTGTAATTTTGATCTGTTCTTCGATACCAAGATTGTGAAGGTGGCATTTTATCACATCAATTGTTTTTACAATATACAATACAATAAAGTGGATCAAACTTTCACAGGAGAAACCAATGTGTTTCTATTTCCAGACTATTTCTATCAAGGATGGGGGAAATGTTGGTGTACCTCAGGATGTATGGCAAGCCTTTTTAACATAAATTCGGTTTCATCTGACCATCCACATTTATGTTACAGATATCTTAAATTCAGAGATGGGAAGTAACGAAGTACAAATACTTTGTTACTGTACTCAAGTAGATTTTTCTGATATTTTTACTTTACTTTACTACTTATTTTTATGGCGACTTTTTACTTCTACTCCTTACATTTTTACACAAATATCTGTACTTTCTACTTCTTACATTTTAAAAAATTGGCTCGTTACTTTAGTTTTGAATCATTTCAATGGAGTTACCGTTATTATTTTTCACGTCATCAATACCAAATTCAATCTAATTGGATGGGAATCTACGTTGCATTTGACGCACCACTACAAGATGAATCGACAGATTCGGCCGTATTCATTCGCGGCAAATCATTGCAGCTTGGTGGAGGTGGCGTTAGCATAGTAGTATGGACGACGAGATGATTGAAAATGAACACAACATAGATCTAGTCCTATTGGCAGACATCCATTTATAATGTAGGCAACGGCATGAAAAAAGTGGTTTCTACTTTTACTTTTATACTTTAAGTAAATTTACAAGCCTGTACTTTGTTACTTTTACTTGAGTAAAGAAGTGTAATCAGTACTTCCACTTTTACCAGAGTATTTTTTAACACAAGTATCTACTTTTACTCAAGTACGGAAAGGGAGTACTTTTGCCATCTCTGCTTAAAATACATTTTGACTAGACAAAACCACAATTTGACTATCCGGAATGGTAATTTAAGATATCTGTATTTACATTCTGATTAGGAAGAATAATAATTCAAGATATCTTCGATTACATTTTGCCTAGTCAAAATTTCTTTCAAGATATCTCAAATTACAACATCGGATTTGTCATTTAAAGCGTCACACGCTGATTTAACTTTTCCTACTTTGGATTAAACTGACAATAAGGAATTTTTTTAGGAATTATCCTCCTGGAAGCCCATTAAAAAGATCATTACACATTTTGACTAGTCAGAATGTTAATTTAAGATATCTTTAATGGCAAAAACTTAATAATTCAAGATATCTATAATTCATTTAGAGATATCTTAATAGGAATTTCGAATAGTCGAAATTACAATTCAAGATATCTTTAAATTTGTTTTGTCTAGTCATTATTTGCTTTTAAGATATCTATAATTTAGTTTTCACTAGTCAAAACTGCATATCTCCTATCCTAAAATACAGTTAAGATATCATGAATTATGGTGGCATTTGAGATATCTTTAATTAGAATTATGACTAGTCAAAACTAAAATCGAGATATCTTGAACTTACTTTTTGACTAGTCGTAATTTATATCTGAAATGTGTATTTCAGATAGTCAGTAATTAATTCAGTAATTAACTCATACAAGTTAATGGTAAATCTGAGGTCATTTCGACTAGTCAGAATGTAATTAGAGATATCCCAAATAGGTATTTTGACAAGTCAAAATATAATTAGAGACATCTTAAATCGCTAAGACGTCCAGTCATAAAACAATTTGAGATATCTTGAATGTAAAGGCGGTACAACTGAATTTATGTTAAAATCGGCTTGCCATACAGGGAGCTACATTTGGCTCTATGTCTTTTAGCAGGTATATTAATTCCTTTTTTTTTTTTTTATTGGTCAGATGTCTACTAACTGCAAGGTTGCAACTTCATTTATTTTACTTCCGTTTTTTTTTTTTTTTTTTATTTTAAAATATAACTGTTAAATCTCAATCCGATTCGTATTTGAAAATATTTAAACTACATTTAAAAATGCATGATTATTTATAGATAGACAGATAAGAAAAAACAAAAAAGATACATATATAATCAAAACAGGACTTTTCCTTAAGTCCCAAGCTCAGAAAAAAATACAAATTTAATAGAAGTACAACCTTATTATTATCATAACTACAGTATTTTGATGATGAGAGAAGACAG